CTCCCTCCCTCCCTCCCTCCCTCCCTCCCTCCCTCCCTCTCTCCCTCTCTCTCTCTCTCTCTCTCTCTCTCTCTCTCTTTCAGTCCCTTTTTCAAAAGAGCAAGAATTGCCGGGAGAGGGTCAACAGTTGCCGTGACGACGCTGACAGGCTCCGTAAAGAGATCCAAGAGAGAAAGGGACAACATAAAAGTAGAAAAGCTGAACAGGAAGCATTATCCAGAGGTAGTGATTCATTAATAATAATAATAATTATTATTGTTATTATTATTATTAGAAATTAGCGAGTTGTATCAGAAACGAAAGAAGCTAAACGAGGACTTTCGTCAGAAGCAAAACGAGTACTTGGCACAAATGAAAGCTTACAGCGAAGAAGAGGGCGGAGCTAAGAGAGGAGGAGGAGGAGGAAAGGGAGGAGCCAGTAACAATGAGAAGACAATGGTGGAACGTGACTATCATAAGCAAATCAAACAGTAAGAGAGAGACTAAGTATTATGTTATACAGTTTTTATTTATTTATTTATTATTTATTTAGTTCAACAAGGGTTGAGGTAACCAGAAGAGATGAGGAAGTATCAATATGTCTGACACTCATAAACTATCTGACCAGACTAAGCACCACCACCAACAGGGCTACCTCTCCCTCGCTCCTGAGGACTCACCAAACCCACGCTCCATCAGCTTCTCCTGACGGTGAGTTTATTAAGAACACTTGGAAAACTGAGCAAAATTGAAGAACCAGCATAATAAAGAATTTTCGCCATTTTTACAGAATTTTCATTAAAAATTTTGTTCTACAAACATTCTTCACTACATGTACATGTATTTTATTACCGGCTCTTTCTTTTTCTCCCTCTCTCCCTCTCTCTCTCTCCAGAGCTCCGTAAAGTGTTGAGTCCTCCATTAAGGGTGAGTGAAGGTGATGATGTTGTTGTAATTCACAGGAAGAGAGGAGAAGATGAAGAGGAATGGATACCAGCTGGTAGCAGGGACAGGAACAGCAGAAGGAAGGCAAGGAGAAGGAAGAGTTTCTCTGGACAAAAAGTATCATCAGCAGCAGCAGCTGACATTAATCAAATTCTTTTTTCTCTTTTTTGCAGACATTTTCAAAGTCCCTGCAGCACAATGCCACCATATTTGAGCAGTTCAACAGGTTGGGGCTGCAACCGCCTATAACTCCAGCTGATATTAATAAAGTCTCTGATCAATTAAGAGGTTTACTGGTAAGTTATTAGTAATGACATGTACTTAAGCTGTGTAGAAAGTTTGAGTCAATTTCAATAAAAAATTTTTAAGTTATGGCTACACGTATTAAAAAAACAAGCTGATTTTTGAAAAATACCCAAGGCTATAGCCCATGGTTTTTTCCAAAAAATGGCTCCGAAATCACCCCCAATTTTTATTATATTTTCTGATACATATTGATGTCCTTATGCTATGTAGAAAGTTTGAGTCGATTTCAATAAGAAATTTTTGAGTTATGGCCATTTTAAAAAATGGACCAATTTTTGAAAAATACCCAAGGCTATAGCCCATGGTTTTTTCCAAAAAATGGGTCCAAAATCACCCCAAATTTTTATTACATTTTCTGATACATATTGATGTCCTTATGCTATGTAGAAAGTTTGAGGTGATTCCAATAAGAAATTTTTGAGTTATGGCCATTTTAAAAACGGACCAATTTTTGAAAAATACCCAAGGCTATAGCCCATGGTTTTTTCCAAAAAATGGCTTCAAAATCACCCCAAATTTTTTATAACATTTTTAATGATTTTTTTTGGTACACATTAATTTATTTTATTATTATTAGATCAAGTACGAAGCTGGTAAAGAGGCGGAGTCAGAAGCAGGTGATTCTGGAATCATGAGTAGCACTGGAATCAGCGAAATCAGTGATTTTACTCACATGAATGATATTAGTCTCACTAGTGGTGAAGTCACACCCAACAGGCCACAACCCCACTCTCCGTCACCTCCTCTTCTCCAAAATGAATCTGGTCCTTTAGACAGGTCATGTGACACCATCGTCAACTGATAGCCACACCCAGTCATTAATTGACAGTTATAGGTACAATAAGTTTTTGTTGCTACATGTTATTAATAATGATTGAATATTTAACCATTTGTATACCATTCATGAAGTATTGTATCAATATTATTATTATATCATTATGATGATTATTATTATTATTATATCATTATTATTATTATTATTATTATTATTATTATTATTATTATTATTATTCTCTCTTATTCTTCCATTTTTCTTTTATTTATCCATAACTTAACTGCCCCATCGAAACCGCACGACACAAGCAAGTCCAACTCATTGCAATAATGGAGGTCCCTCTACGAGAGAGAGAGAGGGAGGGAGGGAGAGAGAGGGAGAGGGAGGGAGAGAAAGGGAGAGGGAGGGAGAGAGAGAGGGTTTAGGATACATGTCATCAAGAGTACATGATGCCATGTACAGTTAGACGAACCACTATTCCTTCATGGCCGGTTAATTTTGAGACGATCCTTTGACTCCGTAACTCCCAAACTACAATACTCTTATCTTGAGACGTCTATTAATAATTATTTAATTACTCCCGGCCCCTCCCCTTACCCCATACACATATTGTCCGTTAGGATGCCAGCAGTGTCTTGGTTGACTGAACTCATCATTAGTGGCCCCATAAAGATTAGTCACTAGTTTACCACTCAACCAGTCGTAGAGTATTAGTCTATCCTTATCTAACGAGAAGACATGGAGACTCAATTCAGTAGCTCAAACATTGATAGAGAATCAATAGCTGGTAATTGTCAGTTCTGTGTATGAATTGACACTATAGATCAGTCATTTTTACACAAATAATTACCAGCTGGTCCTGGTAAATCTATCCATTATTATTCCGCCAATATTACTAGTAGTATCATTAGTATAGTGTATATTTACCAGTTGATATCAGTAGGTGTCTTTCACTCGGGCTGAATGAAATGTGCATTGGATTGAAACTGACATAATCATCTCCTACAGCATTCATGTTGATCAGTCGAACCTAGAGAGGGAGAGGGGAGAGAGAGCTATCATCAAATACTACATCTAAGGACATACTTCTACAGGATCATCCAGTGTCATATCGATGATGTGAAGGAGATTATCATTTCTAATTCCAACAACAAACACGTCAGACAACTAACAGTAAAAATGAATTAAGAAGAACTTGTTTTGTCATTACTTTAGATACAGCTACAGCTTCTACAGGATCTTTGAACTGGAACACTTTCTTTTTGTGATACAAGTCACCCTGAAGACTAAAGAGGCTCGCCAGTAGAGATAAGTATTAGCTTCATTTTACTTACTTATAAAGGCAGGCTGTCTTGTCATAAGAAGCAGTGATAAAGTATTGACCAGTTCTAGACCACAGGGCCCGTACAACATATCTACAATAATAATTATTAGCTAAAACTTTTAATTTTAAAATTTGAATACTTTGTGTGATCAGTAAATGATTGAACCATGACCCCACCCTCTTGTTCCTCCTCCTCCTCCTCTTTCTTGAACAGGTTCAATATAAAAGCAGTCCGGTCCATGCTACCACACAAGACAAGGTTTCTTTTCGTTGGATGAAAGTCGATGCAAAGAACAGCACCTTTGCAAACCTTGTGAGTCTGAGAAACAACCGAACGAGGAGGTGTGGTCAAAGAGAGGGGCAGAGGGATACTGGTCGATACTAGCATAGCCTTTGAACCCCCAACAGCTAACGCTATCAATTGATAAATGAAATAAAATAATTATATTCTCTCTCTCTTTCCCTCCCTCCCTCTCTCTTTCCTCTACCTCTCTCCCCCCTCTCTCTCTTTCTTTCTTTCTTTCTCTTCTCTCTGTTCCTATTGTCAAGTGTTTGTGCGTGAACATTCCCTCCCATTCTATACCTCCAGTTTCTATTAGTCGAACTACAAGGACATTGTGACCTTCTGTTAGATAGTCCAAGGAACTCCACAACAGACCAGCATAAGAACCATCACCATCCTCAAACTAAAAGCAAATAATAATAATAATTATTATTATTATTATTATACCAGGTGGTCTACGGAGAGTGATTTCTCAGTTTCCATTCTTCTTTTATGAGCAAAATCATCTGAAGATTACTCGTTATAAATATTTTGATTCATCTCCTGGCTTCATTACCTAATATCTCTTGCAATTGACCTGTTTTAAGTACAAGTTGATGTCCTTCCTTCTCTTTAAAATGTCTGCCACTGAACAGGACGGGTAATAGCACGGGGACAAAGGTACAAGGGCTGTATTAGTATATCCTTACCTTTCCTTTTCAAGGCTCTTCAGTGTCTCCGTGAACCCTCTCTCCCTCAAATATCCCTCCAGCAACAGGAAGACCTCTTCCTCGTCCATTTTATAACAGACAAGCTTTTGCAACTGGAGGCGGGGCTCGTTATTACACTCCACGTGAAAACACGTGGACAAGCTATTCAATGTAAGCCACGCCCATTAATTATTTATTAATGGAGGAAGCCAGTTTCGAGAGTCTTTTAAGCAAAGTTCTTGAGAAGTACAGAGTGGAGTTGAGTCGTAAGGGATAAGAAGAGAGACCCTGTTGTTACATTTATACTGTCCTTCTCTTGAAAAGGTCGTCAGAATCAGTTGGAAGATTCTTTAAAGAGTCACCATGAGGAGATAGAGGTTTATAGGAAAAGAGAGAGACAGTACATAGCCACCATTGGAAAGTAAAGAATGCATTAGTGCTTTGGGTTCCGTTAGATGGTTTTATATATTTTTAGACTCAAAAATAAACTGCTACTGAAATCAGACGAAACCAAACAACTAAGGGACTTACTGACACTGTAAGAGGAGTGGCTTTATTATTATTATTATTATTATTATTTTAGGCATAATGTTGTCATTCCGCCACTTAATGAGCTCATTAATATTCATAGCAACAGGTCACATGATGATTCATCCTCCACTGCAGCAGAGACTAGTGTTCTACCTGAAGCCACACCCACTGTCACACCCACCAATAACATCACTTTACAATCTCTTGATCAAACCACAGGATCATCACCAACTGAAGCCACGCCCACAAGTCAAGATCCACCAAGTAATCCATAACTTAAAATATTGGCAAATTCATAGTCATTATTAATATAGCAGCTACAGAGGGTTAAAATTAGTATTTCTTCTCATACAATAGGCAGTGCGACTCCTCCTGTGTCTGTCTCACCATCAAATGGTTCAACATCGAATACTGTATCATCTTCACAAGGTAAGAGGTCTCTTCGTCTCTCAAGATCAAAGAAGAGGTCGATATATCATGACACGACTGATGGAGCGTGGACCAAAGAGAAGGACAGCAGTGCACAAGAGAAGGAAATAAAGAACAGAACCAAACCAGCTGAGGGAGTGGACAGACCTGATGAAGTGATAGTGATAGATGATATAAATCCAGGGGGTGTGGTCTTATCAAAAGAGGGTGTGGTCACTAATACTGAACCTGATTCTCAATCAGTGTCTTCGGACGATACAGTAATGTGTGAAAATAAGAGACTCAAAGAGATGAACGAAACCATTCCACTTTTCAATACTCGTTGCTATGACGATGAGGAAGAGGAGGAGTTATCATGTTACCATGACGATGGAGAAGAGTCTGTATGGTTACTGAACGAGAGGAAAGGGGAGGAGCTTAACAGGAGCATGTCGCCATCAGTACTGACCCAGGCCTTCCTCTCCGAAGAATACCCACTACCACACGAGACATACAGCATGTCACATGATTCCTCCGATAAGTCACATGATCCCAGTAACAGTGAGTCACTTGGAGGAGCTGTTGTCTCGTCGGACGGTAAAAAGAGAAAGAAAAGGAGAAATAGGAGGAGAAAGGGTGTGGCTATGAGACTCTCATCTTTGCAAACCACGCTGACTCAGCACATTCCTACCAACAATGAAACTGGAGGGAAATCCCCTCACGTCATTCCGCCCACACCTTTTATTAAAGCATCACTGCTCCACCCCTCCAGTAGGAGTGCCTGGAAGACTGACCTGATAACTAGTAAGGTTTCTCCTTCTCTTAAAAGAACGGACGATGATAATAATAATAATAACGAAAAGGCTCTTGCTGCTAGAGCTGGTCTCCCGACGTATAAATGTGTTGTTAATTTGAGGAAGAAAAGTGACCGAGAGAAACTAAGTGCTAAGTCGTGTCCTGAATGTGAAAGGGTCAGTATTTTAGTGTCATTTCAATAGTTATGGTCTGTGTAGCATTAGCACCTCTGATTTCTATTAATATTTCTTATCGACTTTGAGCATTCATTATGTTAGTTTTATGATCCAGTTTTTGTTTCATTCTCTAGTGGTATAAGAACAACAATGACCTGTACGATAATTCAAGTGACCAGTTACAAAAGACTTGTAGACACAGACACTTGTACTTACCTCCAGAGTCAGACCCAACCATTTGGAATATAGAGTTTCCCGACACTGCTAAAGTGACTGAGAGTGCCCTTGAAGATGATGAAACTGAATGTATCAATGATCCTACATAATCAATGATTTTAATATTTTTAATATAATGTACAGTACATGTACAGTATTATATGTATGTATGTTAATTTTTATATCTTATTTGAAAATTTTTTGAAAAATATCTACAAGTTTAATGTAGTTCATGGCCAGCTGTTCAGAAATGTTGAGTATAAATATTATTGCATTTAAAAATGAATTTAATCATTAATTAATTAATGTTAATTAATTTCCTGTTCTTGTTCACACCTCAAGGTGTTAACAAGGTGTCAAAAACAACTTGTAATTTTTTTCAAAATTTGCATCTTTAAATGTTCATGACTTCAGAATTTGAACTTGGAAACAGCTCAAACTTTCTACATAGCATAAGGCATTGATGTGAAATTGGAAGTGATTTAAAGAGTTAATTTTTGGTATTTTAAAAAAGTGTACAAACATGTAAAAATACATTACATAAATGAACTGATAGAGTTAGTTCAATAAACTAATATTAATAATGGGTTAGTCGTCTTTAGCTATGACGGAGGTCTCAGTTCTTTAGCTCTCTCTGTCCCTCTCTGTACTGCCCCCATCACCCCTCCTCTCACTCCAGCGTCCTCCATCACTTTCAGTCCGTGAATGGTTGTACCACCCGGGGAAGCAACTGACGTCCTTATCTGTAGATCATGTGACAACAGATCATGTGACAGGAGGAGGTGTGGCTTACTTCGTGTGGTTTCATTCCTCTTTCAATTACAATCTTAGCAGTACTCTAATAAAATAAAATCAATTTTACCCTCTCTCCCTCTCTCTCTCTCTCTCTCTCTCTCTCCCCCTCTCTCTCTCTCCCTCTCCCTCCCTCTCTTTACCATCATTGTATATGCTGCTATTTTGTCGGCCATTCCTCGAGGAATACCAACCAGCACTCCTCCATCAGCCAACGCCTCCATTACTAATCCCATCTGTAATAAATAAATAATAATATCATTATTTCATAGTGTTCTTACAAAAGCAACTCCGCTGCCAGTAAATGCAGTGAATCCGTCGATGTACTGCTCTGGAACGTCTTGAGTGAAACCGACAGAATTAAATATATCAAGAAATAACTTGTTGTCATTTTCAGTGCTAAAGTGACCACTTGTATATACTGTCACACCAGCTCTGACTGGAAAATAAAATAAAATAAAAAATTAATTAATTAATAATTGCTACCAGAAGATGCAACAGTTGGAAGGCAACGAATTACAGGAAGATGACCCAACATGTCTGCCCTACCCATCTTCCAAGATATCTCTGTCTAGAAAGAGAGGGGGGGAGAAAGAGAGGAGACAGAGGTCATAGACAATAATATACTGACCTTTTCTTCAATCTGTTTTATGGTAATAGAGGTTGCCACGGAAACAATGAGCGGCCTGAGGTTCCTAGGCAACGGGGCCCCTCCCACCAGTAATTGATTCTCGTCAATGTCCTGATATATCTTCCTTAGTTCTTCAAGGACTGGCAATACTTGATGAGGTTTCACTGACAGAACAATCACATCACAAGAAAGAACTATGTCCTTATTATTAGTTGTCACGGCAACGCCTAGAGTCTAAATATGGGTGTGGTTATTAATGCCTAAAGCTCCACCTACTTACCTGCATCTTCTTATAGTTTTCGCCATTGGTAGCAAATGAGGCGTGAATCTTGAACCTTTTCTGTTTATCATCTGAAAATTAATAATACTGAAAACCTGGCCATGGGCCAAAAATGAAAAAGTAAGAATCCTCCATTTTTAAATAATTTTTCTGATACATATACATGTTTTTATGTTTTATAGAAAGTTTGAGCTGATTCTGATCAAGTTTGGATTTTTTTACGAATTTTTAAAGTTGCTCCAAAATCGGGCCAAAGTCCCTGTACTATAGTACAGGGGCTTTGGCTAAATTTCATCAAAAATGAAAAGTAGAGAATTCTCCATTTTTATTACATTTTCTGATACATATACATGTACTTGTGTTGCGTAGAAAGTTTGAGCTGATTCCAATCAAGTTTGGATTTTTTATGAATTTTTTAATTTGCTTCAAAATCGGGCCAAAGTCCCTGTACTATAGTACAGTGACTTTGGCCAAATTTTGCCAAAAATGAAAAGTAGAGAATTCTCCATTTTTATTACATTTTCTCATACATATACATGTACTTATGTTGGGTAGAAAGTTTGAGCTGATTCTGATCAAGTTTGGATTTTTTACAAATTTTTAAAGTTGCTCCAAAATCGGGCCAAAGTCCCTGTACTATAGTACAGGGGCTTTGGCTAAATTTCATCAAAAATGAAAAGTAGAGAATTCTCCATTTTTATTACATTTTCTCATACATATACATGTACTTATGTTGCGTAAAAAGTTCAAGCTCATTCCGATCAAGTTTGGATTTTTTTTACATATTTTAAAAGTTGCTCTGAAATACTCCTAGACTAGAGTATGTGAGGATTTTAAATTGCTCAAATTTAATTCAATTTCAGTGCTAGTTCTACCTGCTTGTAAGAGTCCCTCTGTAATTGCTCGAGCCAGGTTTCCTCCTCCAATAAATCCAACGTGTGTCGCTCCTTCTCCTCCAGAGGCCATCTTGAATCTCTTACTAGAAGGACCTGCACCAGATTCCACCATGCTGCTGTAAGTATGGGCGTGGTCAATTGGAACTGGATTGGATCATCCAGATCCAGGATCATGGACGTACCACTTTGCATTAGTAACATTACACCAAGGTAGATCCATACTATTCTACACAAGGTAATATCTTTAGTATGCATTTATTTGTTTTTATAGTCTGTGTTTTGGTATGCTACTCTGTACTTCAGTAGCAAATGATACACTAACTACTGAGGATGAATTAACAGGCAAAGGTCAGGTATATGTATATGTAATTGTTCACAATTATTATTTTATTATCATTAGTTAAAGAAAGTCTCAGTGAGTTGGCAGTGTACATAAGACTATGTTGTAGATTTATAATAGCCAGCAGCATGCAGCAGCTATTAATGTAGTTTATCAGCTTTAATCGTGTTATGATGGAGCAGCAGGAGGAGGTAAACCAACCACTTAATTAGCCCAAAAGATTTTTCCTTTTCGTGTTTTAAGATCCCAAGTGACGTAAGTCCCTGATTCAAAGTGTCTTGTGACAGTATCGTTCTTCTCAGTTGCGGGACCGAGTGGTTTTCCTAGAGGTTTGCTAAAACTTTCATCCCAACCGCTGCAGCTGAGGAAAGCACCTTCTTCTAAAGCGAGTAGGAACATGGCAACTTCATCTTCAGAGCAAATTGAAGCAGTGCTAGTGCAGTCTCCATTAATCAAATCTCTGTTCATTACATAAGCATATTTATATGTACTGAGTGCTTCTTTGATGGCTCTTGCATTCTCCATTGGAGTTGTACCTCTAGTATGAGCCCAGCCTGTTGTGTTGTAGAACACAACTGCATCTGGCCCAAATATTTTGTGAAGTTCATCCAGGACCATTGGTTTCCCATCGTTGTAGTTTTGAGCAGTTTCTTTTGAGATTATACCACAGGATATGTTCCAGGTATCCTTGCCAGTGCCCCATTCACAAATCTGCCAGAATGAGCCTGTTTCATTCCACATTGCTCTTATGTTGGATTTATCATCAAAAATTCCATCAACAACTCCAGTCTCAACTAATTGCTTCACGAATCCAATCCACAAATCACGTCCAACCTTTTGACCCAAGTCAAATACGTTAATCCCCGGCATGCCGTTATCATTCTTGAATGACACCAGCTTTCCATTGACATCAGTCACATCAGCATTAGCTTCTAGAAACTTCCCATGTAGCTCAAGAAAAGGAAAGTCGTACAGTGTATTGAGGTAGAAGACTGCAGCTATCTTTGGGTTGACTGCTTTAGCACGTTTGATTGTATTAAGTTGATAGTTCTCAGCACCGCAAGATGGCTGGCATGGAACAGGAGGTTTCTTTGTTAGGTTGGCATAGCATTCATACCAGCAAGGTCCCTCCCATTTCTCAATGACTACTATTCTCATCTTTGCCAGCATTTCAATATTCTCCTGTGACCTTTCCTTGCAGTTGACTCCTCCAAAGTATCCAATGGGTATAGTATCCAATGAAGTGTCTGGTGGAGTGATGGCACCAACTACTCCACAGATAGCAATGACCTGCAGGACTAACAGGACTAGGACAGTCTTGCTGCTCATTTTGTTGTTTATTTTCACTGACAGGATAAAGAATGACCTCATCACATGATGAGAGACACTGCTATGAATAACTGCTTTTATAAATGAGAGTGTATTCATTATTGCAATCATTCATTTATTTAGGATTTCTAAAACTAAAAGCTTTTTTGTATTAAATAAGAGAGTTAATTAGGTTAGATCTATTTCTATTGTAAGTGTTAAATTCCTCACATGGTCTGCTGTTTAAACAGATATATTGTTCTCTTTTGCCTGGCCAAGCAAGACTAGCTCAAGATGTTGATTCTGCTTCCATTATTATTTCTTTTTGTTCACTTCTCCCTTTTATCTGCTAGTGATGTTAAGAAGTTCTATGTTCATCCTAATGGTAACTCTTCACTGTGTCCAACTCACTCCACTTGTCACACTCTCAATGAATATGCTACTCTTCCTGTACCACAAGACTCAATCTTTTACTTCCTACCTGGTGGTAGCCATTCTTTAAACAGATCTCTTGTTTTCAAGGTTGATAATATAACTTTCCAGGGAGTGAAGCATGTGGTAAAAGGACCTCATGAAACTGTTATGGAGCCTTCAGTGGTCATACAGTGTGTTGTCCTGAACAAAGTTTCCATTAAATTTATAGCTTGCAACAGTGTCAAGCTCTCATATATAACTGTAAAAAACTGTGGTACAACTGATTTGGAAGATTACAGTTCAATTTTTGTTATAAATTCTCGCTATGTTGCCTTGTACTATGTTTCAGTGCAGAGGAGTTACGCTGCAGCTGTATTTTTAGATAACTGCTCCAATATTCAGATATACAACTCGTCCTTTTATCAGAATGGTCTATGTTACCATAGTGACAGTCCTGATTATGTTTGTTCTTATGCAAGTGCTATCGTTCTCCGTCAGATTAATGAGGCACCAAGTATGGCCTTCCACATGGCTGGTTCAAACATCACTTACAATTATCAGCTAGGTATGCACGTTACTCTTGGCGCATTTTTTATTCCGCATGTTGAGATCCATTTAGAGACGCTTTGCCTTGCTAATAACTTGGAGAATCTTGCCTTTGTGCTTTCTTATAATTTTGATATATTTATTAATGGGCTGGTCTCTATCAATAGCACCACTGGATTGAGCTTATTTCAAACTCTCCCAGTACAAGCTGGATACAGTCAGTCCTTCACTATGATAAACACTTTGATAGCAAATAACAATGTCATTGGCATTAGGGCAAGCCTGGTTGATGTTTCTCTCCATCTAAATTCTTCAATTCTCAGTAACAATTTAGGTGAATCCAGCAGTGCTTTGAATCTAGCAGCATTTCTACCTCAAAACTCTATAAGTGTGGTTCTGTATAATGTCACATTTAATAGTAACACTGTTGCAAGGATAAAGGAGGATGATGAAGATCGGTTGCCATCATTTGCTCTGACAGCTTTGATCACTGATATTAAAAATGTACTCATTTCTGACTGCAACTTCACAAATAACAATGGAACTGGCCTGGGGATTTTCAATACATATGCCACTTTTGATGGAGTCAGCAACTTCATTAATAACACTGCTTTCAATGGAGGAGGGTTGTATGTAATTTCTGACTCTTTTGTGTTTCTTACTAAAAACTCGTTGTTAAGATTTGTCAATAATCACGCCACGGAGAGAGGTGGTGCAGTCAATGTGAGAAAGGTGATACTGGTTGTCAGTTCCAGCCCATCCATTATTCCAGACGTGACCCACACAGAAATAATTAACCAATGCTTTTACCAGCTCCCTAATTTAAAAGTATATAATAAATATTTTTATTTTGAGAGCAATACAGCTGGAGTCTCTGGTTCAGTACTGTATGGAGGAGCACCATCCCTATGTTATCAAGGAACGGATAACTACAATACAACTGAGTTTCTCAATATTAGCTCATTCAATGATCAACTAGGACCCTCAGTTGTGTCATCAGACTCTCGTGGGGTTTGTTTTTGTGATGATGAAGGCATTTATGATTGTAGTGTGATGCAAATATCAAAGTCAGCTTTACCAGGAGAAAGCATTAGTTTCTCTGTAGCTGTGGTGGGGGAGTACGCTAGTTTAACTACTGGTATTATCAGTGTCACGAGTGATAATGGAGAACACTCTGACTACAATGCTTCGTATGCAGTTTGCACTACTTTAACTCATAGAGTAACAGTGACTGATGATGAAACTAAGGAATCAGAGATAAGTGTAACACTGGGTAGCTTTGAGAGCAACTTTTACCAACCACCTCTACTTATTAATGTTCATATCAGGCCATGCTTATTAGGTACTTCTCTGTCACAGCAGTCAGGTGTGTGTGAGTGTGATGACTTTATCAATAGTGCCACTACTTCCTGCAATAGTACAACTGCTGTTGTGACAAAGGACGGGAGCAGTTGGATTGGAAGCTACAATAACTGTACCACTATCATCTATTATCAATACTGTCCATATGATTACTGCATACAATCATCAGTGAACTACTCATTGGATGATCCTGATAAACAATGTGCTCTGAATAGATCAGGTCTACTGTGCACCCAATGTAATGAAGGACTTAGTCTTATGTTAGGATCCAATAAATGTGGAGAATGTACTAATGATTATCTGTCTCTTATTATTCCATTCTCATTGGCTGGTATTGCTCTTGTTATCCTAATCATTGTTCTTAATATAACTGTCACTGTTGGTACTATTAATGGACTATTGTTCTTTGCTAATGTTGTCAAGATATTCCAACCAATACTCCTTGGGACTGACAATACTCCAGTACTAAGTCAGTTCATTGCTTGGATTAATTTGGATTTGGGTATTGAGACGTGTTTCTTTGATGGTATGAATGTGTGTGCCAAAATTGGCCTTCAGTTTGTGTTTCCATTCTATCTTTGGTTACTAATCCTTCTCATTATTGTACTGAGTGGAAGGTTCTCTAAACTTTCTCAGTTGATTGGTAACAATGCAGTTCCTGTATTGTGCACTCTGTTGCTTCTCTCCTATACTAAACTCCTCCGTACTGTTATTTCCATTTTCACGTATGCTAATCCATCTTCAACCTGCACTGGCATTTTATGGTACAACAATGCTGAGCCATACTTCACTGGTTGCCACTTGGTTCTCTTCATCATTGCATTTGCAGTTCTTCTACTGTTCATACCATACACAATGTTCCTCCTATTCTTTCCATTGTGGGAGAAGTGTCGCTCTAAATGGCATTTTGGTACAAAACTCTATCTTAAACTGAAGCCAGTCTTTGATGCTTATGCTGGCCCTCATACTGATACATTCCGGTTCTGGCCTGGTGTTTTACTAGTTGCAAGGATAGTATTAGCTATGTCTGTAGCAATTGCTGAAAATCCTTTTGCATTTCTTACTGCCATAGCCTTTGTCCTCATAGTCACACTTAGTTTTGGATCAGTCTACAAGAATAAGATACTCCATTCAATTGATACTTTGTATCTTCTCTGTCTTTTGGTCATCTTCTATTCCATCTTTACAGCTCTCATTCAAAATGGCCAAGAAACCAACCTTACCAGACTATCTTTATCTAGAGATAGAGCCAGGGCCAGTGTAGGCTTAGGTATAGTCTATTTTATAGCTCTAGCTGGTTTCTGTCTCACACTGGCCTATCATATTTATGCTTGTTTGTATGGAAGATGCAAATTTACAAGAAAAGAGAAAACAGTTCAAGGAGAATATGAGGAAATAGCTGACCATCAGAAAGATCCTACAACCTCTTCACTGCCGGCAATGCATAGACCTGCTCTTCGTGAGTCCCTACTTGAATCTGTTAATAATATTAATTAATTAATTATCAAAATAAAATTATTCGTTGTTATTATTGTTGTTGTTATTACTTAATGAATTGCTTGTTGATGATGAGTTGTTAAAATGAGATCTCAAGAAATCAAAATCATCTTGATGAGAGTCTTCATTTCTTGATCCTTCCCCCTCCTCCTCTCCTGTTGGTGAATCCCCTAGTCTCAGGGGAGGAGAATGAGTGGGACTCTCTATAACTTCAGTATCAAGTTCCACGTCATATTCCCTAGGAGGAGGGGCTACTTGATCGTCATGACGATGACGCAAAAACAATTGTAGATTATATCTTGGTTCATCATTATCACTTTCACTGTCTAAAGAGAGAGAGAGTGAGTAAGAGAGAGACAGAGGATGGGAGACAGAGAGAGCAAGAGGTTACCTGTAGCTGATGATGAGCTTTCCATTTCTTGTTGTCTTTTATCTTCCATTATCAAGTGATCAAAGAAGGCCAACACTCTCTCACTCTCCTCCTCATTCTCCTGGTCACTGGCCGTGTCGTCCACTGCTTCAATCAATAGATCGTCCATTAGACCAGTGTAGTGCTCTCTGGATGGAGGGCCAAAGGACTGGACGCATGGCTGACCACTGTACTGTTGGAACGGAGTCCATATCTACATGTACATGTATGTAATGTGTTATACAGACTAGCCTCTATATAATGGACACTTATGGGCAAGAAAGTGTCTACTCTCTGTTATACAGAGGTGTCCTTTATGTGGAGGTTATTTTATACAGTAAGGAATGTAATTGGTACACTAGGTGCTGTCCGTTAAATGGAGTGTCCATTAAGAGAGGCTATACTGTATTACATGTTGCATGAAATACTTTAAAGATCTTTTCCACTCCGGATGAAGAGAGTAAGTTATGTACTGAAGAGTACCTGGTTTGGTTGACTATGGACCGATGACCTGGCATGACTAAATGAGGCATCAGCTCTTCCCGTGGCTCTATCAATGAAATAAGTACATCTAAATGTAATTTATTGTTATTACTTGTTTCAAAATTAGGCAATTTCCACCAGTAAATTCTGAAATCATCAGACCCAGATACCACATACTATAATAATAATAATATCAGCGAATAAAATGAATAAATAAATAATAATATTAATAATAATAATAATAATAATAATAATAATAATAATAATGGTTAAACCTCTTCATTTTCACATTCTGCAAAGCAGCCGGACTTCATTGTCACCATGTTGCTATAGACCAGATACAGTCAGTACAGGACAGTAGTGGCTCTACCTGTATCCATGAGGCTCAGTGCATACAAAGAGAGGATTAGGAGAGAGTGTAGAGAAGACACAAGGTGGCCTTGCCCTCTGCATTGAGAATAGCCTGGTGCCACAGCTGTTGAAACAAACTGATGTGGTATCCAATTTATTGAAAGACCACAGTGAAGCATTGTAATCGAAAACTCTGAAATTTAATTTTAAAATGAACTTAGATATTTAATACGTTACTTTCTCCATCCCCGGAGGTCGTAAAGAGAAGCTCCTGTGGACTCATTGCCAGCTGCAATGAGCTTAGACTCGGCAGGATTGACTGAAACACTGTGAAAGGAAGAAATCATTTCATCCAATATCATATCCTGGGTCACTAGAGGAGGAGGAGGAGGAGAGAGAAATTAAGAGAATACTATGAGAGGATTCTTTACTCCGAGGGGAACGTGAATCAACAATAAAGAGGGAACCATCCTCAGTAGCAGCTGCAAAAGTGTGATGAGACTCAGGAAATACGTCAATTGAATAAACTGATGACGTGTGTTGGTAGGTAGTGATGGAGTCACCTCTGAGAGAGAGAGAGAGCAGGTTATAATAATGATACAATGAATTAACTTACGTGTGGAAATCATGTTTAATGATCTGTCCATCATTACCTACATGTGTATAATCAATAACCACACCCACAGACTATACCAGCTGACCTGATGAGTACAGATAGGTATCGTCAAAAGAGAGCGATATTGAGAAGACATTGGAATTATGTTTTGTCGTAAGTGTACTGTATTTATAATCTCCATTTAATAATTGACTTATTCTCCACACAAGGACTCTTGTGTCATCACCTCCTACACAAAAAATAACACAATAAATGAAATATTGTGGACTATAAAAGTTGCTCCAAAATTGGACCAAAGTCCCTGTACTATAGTACAGTGACTTTGGCCAAATTTCGTCAAAAATGAAAAGTAGAGAATTCTCCATTTTTATTACATTTTCTGATACATATACACGTTCTTATGTTGCGTAGAAAGTTTGAGCTGATTCCGATCAAGTTTGGATTTTTTACAAATTTTTAAAGTTGTTCCAAAATCAGGTCAAAATCCCCAAGTTTTGCCAAAAATGAAAAGTAGAGAATTCTCCATTTTAAATACATTTTCTGATACACTTCTTCAAATGTACACGTGACTGTACATGTACATGTATGTGGGTGTGTACCAGTTATAAGATATTCTTGATTTAATTGTGAAAATGCAAGTGCGTTGATGCATCCATAGTGTCCCTTAACGTCACGACTGTACAGGGACTTTGCTGTACTCATACAATCACTAATATACTGCCTCTTGTGTCTGTGTGGGCGGAGCTCTATCTTGTCAAGGTGCACACGTGACACCACGTGACTTGACCTAAAAGATGGTCGTATATCCCAGTATAACTTTGTAAAACCTTGCTTACCTCGACTCCATTCCTAGTTTTGAATTGAAAGAGTTAAAAAATTACTTTTAATAAGATGCGTGGGAGGATAAACATGGCCGCCATTCCTTCTCTGTTGAAACAAAGAATTAAAATGTTTTCTTCAATAATGACCATAAACCCAAGGTTGTTTATTAAATACATTAATAATATTCATTATAATCCTACTACAACAGATATTTCTGTACAGAGACCGACCCTTCCCTTCCCTCCAGTATCTTTGTCACTCCTTCCCAGGTTCCTTTAGCTGCTCCATCCTATCTCACTCCATCTTTTTTGGATGACCCAATAGTAACGTATGCTAGACTCATTTCAATTTCTTCGTCTCACGTTCCTTTAATTAGAAAATTCCTTAATGTTATGATGCGTGATGGGAAGAGATCAAAAGTTCAAACTATATTCAAAAAGGTATTGAAATCAATACCTTGTATATTTATAGAAGAATTTTATTTATTTTTAGACGTTAGAGTATATCAAAATACATCAAACCAAGTTAGCCTAATTTAATTAACTACTGATTTAATTTTTTAATTCATGTAGGGAACTAAAATCTTCAAATTCAAAAGTTGAGACTGACCCGCTGGTGATATTCCATGAAGCTTTGAAGAACATTACACCTCTTGTAGGTACCACTGGTGTCAGGAAAGGAGGGAAAGTGTATCAGGTAAGAATCATTCTGAATATTATCAAGAAAAGGACAGGTCATGTGAAATAGATTAGTCTAACTAAAAATGGGTGACTTGGGCTAAGGATGAGAGACCAAAAGCTGAAATGAGATGTTTCAGACGACCAAATATAGGAGACCAAAAGCCTCCTATAGATCTAACAGTGATAATGATGTCTTTACTCAAACAACATTATATAATAATAATGTCACCAGCCGTCTATAGTCAGATTAGATCATGGTAGCAAACTTATACGTTAATATAGCAGATCATACTACGCTAGGAGAGTTCCTTCTTTGCTTTATAAGGATAATTAATGCCATGATTGCATGTTTAAGGGAATATACTTCACTTGTTGTGTGGTATAATCTAATTTGATGTGAGTGAGTGTTTGTACCCATCCCTGTCCTGTGTACGTGTGTCCACACTTGATAGTGTTCCAATCCTTATCACTGAGTAACCACAAGGTGTAGTTGTTCTGGTGCAGTGGGAAGGAAAGAAAGATTGTCTGTCTTTGCCAATTAAAGTTGTGCCAACATGATTATTACATCATACTTGCATACAGTGGCACCATCTTTCCTTATTATTAATCTCACCCAATCTGTCTCTCTCTCTCCCCTCCCTCCCTCTCTCTCTCCCTCTCCAGGTTCCTGTTCCTATTAACGACAAGAGAAGACAGTTCCTCGGTATGAAGTGGTTAATAAAAGCAGCTGAAAGAGTTAAATCAAGTCACAAGACGACGCCAGAAAGACTAGGAGCTGAGATACTTCAGGCTTATAACAACGAGGTGAGTGAGAGCCTCCAATAACAGTCGGACAGCCTGACCATTTTCCAACCATTTTGATCAATTGTCCGACCAAATTCTGTGTTATTCTGCCATTTTGTCTGAGCAACATGATTTTTGAAATAAATTTATTATTTAACACAATAACATGTCCTACCACAGGGTTTCCCACAAAGCAATGCTAAGTGAGTAGTCTTCATGAGCTGACAAGAACTAGCATAGGGTACCTGGCATTTGGATCAACTTTTAAAATTCATAAAAAATCCAAATTTGATTGAAATCAGCTCAAACTTTCTACACAGCATAAGAACATGTATATGTATCAGGAAATATCATAAAACTTAATAATTTTCTACTTTTCATTTTTGGTGAAATTTGGCCCGAGACCCTGTACTATAGTACAGGGGCTTTGGCCTGATTTTGGAGCAACTTTAAAAATTCGTAAAAAATCCAAACTTGATCAGAATCACCTCAAACTTTCTACACAGCATAAGAACATGTATATATATCAGGAAATATCATAAAACTTGAAAATTCTCTCGTTGAGATTTTTGTCTAAATATGGACCCTGTGTAATGAACACTGTTTGAATGTGAGTTTGTAAATTTATGTAAGATAACATCTCTCTTTTCCAGGGAGCCGCCATTAAAAAGAAGCAGGACTTACATCGGTTAGCTGAAGCAAATAGAGCCTTTGCTCACTTTAGGTGGTGAAAGACCATTGTTATGTATATGTATGTTAATAACAATGTCAAAATACTAAGAATATTGAACGTCATTTCTTTGTTGCTAAACATTGCGCCCACTCGTGATAATTAGCAAAATACTATATAAGCAGCTCAGCTCTCGTACTGTCTTCGTGTTTTCAAATAATAAGAAAAGGAATGGCTTCAGCTACTTTCCTCTCTCTTGCTCTTTTCTTTGCCTCAGTCTGGACCTCAGGCTCAGCTCAATGTACAGACCTGGTTACCCCATCAGTTTTACTCAGTGAGCTGTCCCGAACAAGGCAACTCGCCTCACCTGGCGAAGGATCTAACAACAACCTGAGAGTCCTTGAGTTTTACACCTCCTGTATTGCTTCTGGGTCCTTCAGAGGCTCCTTGACTGAAGCATCTCACTTCGTAAAGGTAACTGGTGTTCCTAACCGTCCTGGAGATTTTTATGGAATTGTTGATCTAAGTTGCTCAGGAAATTCTTGGACTTTGAACAGAGACAAACCTTTTGACTTCGTTACAAATCAAACTTTCATACAATTACTGAGTACTAACAGTAGCATTCAGACTGATTGCTGGCACTGTAACTCTGTCAATCACTTCCGTTACCCCCTCACCAACGATACTGATGACACACTGAGACATTGCGATCGTAAGCAAACTAACAATTGTTACTATGATACTTATTACCCATTGCATGCTGTTATGTAAAACATGTACTGTATTACTAGTTGCTGTATTTCTTTTTTTCAGGTTGTCCTGGAGTGTGTCTAAACAGCAATTCTCCTCAGACCTGTCACAGTCTCCCTGATCCGGTTTGCTGTAATGCCTACCAAAGAGACCCTAATTCGGGTAGACTAAACTGTGTCACTCGATGTCCTACCAACTTCTCAGCCAGTCCAGCCACTAATTTCACTTGTGGTATGTATGTTCATTATTTATAATTGTAGATCTACTGTTATGCATCATTAATTCCCATAAATGTTATTATGTTTTTTTTCTAAATACATAGTGTGTGATCTTGGCTGTAGGAATGGTGGCAGGAACAATGCAAACTGTACCATGTGTATCTGTCCTCCTGGTATCACTGGGGACTTCTGTGAGACACTCCCTAATCCTTGTGACCTCAACCCCTGCAGGAACAATGGGACCTGTTCCGCTGTTTCTTCAACTGAGTATACTTGCACATGTCCTCCTGGTTTCACTGGAGTTAACTGTACTACTGTAATCAACCCTTGTGACCCCAACCCCTGCAGGAACAATGGGAACTGCTCTGCTGTTTCTTTCACCAATTATACTTGCATATGTCCTCCTGGTTTTACCGGACCTAACTGCACTATTGAGCTCAATCCTTGTGACCCCAACCCCTGCAGGAATAATGGAACCTGTATGCGTGCAGGAGCTTATCCAAGGTTTATGTGTACATGTCCACCGCGATACACTGGCTCATTGTGTGAGACTGACATATGCTCCAGGATCAACTGTCTTAATGGAGGTACCTGTAGGATTGAGAATGGAGTACCAGTCTGTACCTGCCCTTCAAACTTCAACGGCACAATGTGTGAGAATTGTACCATCCCCAACTGCAGGAACTGCTCAACCACTGTCCCTGGATTGTGCTTGGGATGTCTTAGTGGGTTCAGACTAGAGACAAACGGAATGTGCTGTGAGTTCCTTTTACCATTCAACTTGTGTTTGTTTTGACTTCATTTTGTCCTCTTTTTTTTCTCACAGCCCTTGATTGCAACCGTTGCCAAGATATTGCAAGTAAGTGTTAGAGTTGTATTGACTTGATTATTGTGACTGTTAGCAACTTGGCACTGATAATGTGTTTGCGTGGGTTTGTTTGTAGACTTTGAGTGAGTCCATTAATTGCTTTATCGTACTCCTTCCTGATGTTGATATTAGCTCCCATTAAAATAACATTATACCAAATGAGCTTGATTGAGTTTGGTATGCACCACTCCTAAATTTAATTGGCACCAGACTACACCCAATTAAACAATCTTTCCCTCTCCCCCCCTCTCTCTCTCTTTCTTCCTTTGTTTCAGATGATGATCAAAGAAACTTGTGTTATTTCTTTTGTGAATTGGAGAATTGGGGTAACGTATCAAGACAATGCAATGTGAATCCTCCTGAGTTTACCACTCCATCACCAAGCTTACCATTATCAGCTCAATACACTAGTGCTGTCTCTGCTACAAGAGGTGCTGAAATGACTTGGGTTGGTTTGGCATCCTTCTCAGTTGTATTACCAATGAGAAGTAAGTCATTTATATAATTGCATGGTATGAAAGAGATCTGTGGGTAATGCACAGTGTTGATGATGTTATTTTTGTGTAGCTGATGAGAGCCTTCAGGCTTGGAGGAATGGTACAAGACATTGGGTCGGTAACTTGAGGAATTGGTTGGGCTTTATTCGAAGCGTTGACAACAATTTTCCTAATTTTAATCTTGATAATCTTTTAGTTGATATAGGTGAGTTTAGAGAGAGGAGAGATGTTAAGTATATTAATAATGATTCTTTTTCAACAGATGATGACAGTAAAGTTCAAGATGTTTATACCAGGACAAGGAGGGCCTGGTCAGATATTTTCAATGCTTTTGATGCAAAAAGGCAGTGCTCAACATAAAGATATTTTTATTTTTCTTTTTTTTGAAGTCCCGAACATTAGTACATGTAATATATGCTATATGAAGCTGTCATACACTGAGCTACTCACAGTTTAATTATAATTATGTTATTAAAATACAAAATTGTTGCCATGATGTTTTTTGCTATTAAAATTATATTAAGATACAAATAAGTCATGCTCTCTCCATAGTGAGAGTCATACAATGACATTAAATGTCCCATTTAAGTTCAATATGTTAGACCTAGCTTGTCAATTATTGATTGATGTCAACCTGTTGCAAAGCAGCTCTCATGCACAAACAGTACAAGATGCTATAGATTAGTGTGCATTAATTGCTAATGTTATATCATGGATTATTTGCATACAGTGTCTCCCACTCATTGGTACAACTATCTATTGATATATTTGCCTTACACCATCGTGTTAGCTGCTGACTAGAACACACAGTGAAACTGTGTTATTTGCATACATTGTCCCCGAGCCAGCACACACAACGTGTATTACTTGACTATAGATTAGCACACACAAAAATACTGTCCTAGGCACAAGGCCGGCACCGCTGTGGCTTTTAGCCATATTCAGCAACAGAACCTGAACCTTTTATCACTTTACATTCTGAGCCACACCTTTGATTCCAGGCGTGGGTGTTTCACTTGATAAAAAGAAGAGTGAAGGCCTCCTCTGCTTAGACTACACATCATCATTTGAAGAAGAAGGAACATGATGAAGGGGTCGGTATACCTTATACTCGCTCTTATAAGTCTCTCTTTTCTCCTGGTCACTAAAGTTGGAGCTCAAGCCATTATTCAAGGATGCCTTTTTCCTGATTCCGGAGATGTTGCCTTTGTCCTCAATGATGCTCTTGACATCATTGCTGGGACTGACACCAACTCTGAGCTATACGATCACACCATCTCTTGTCTCGCTGTATCAAGGACAGTGAATAGATTCCGACTTGCTACAGCAGTGGTTAACTTCACTTCTGATTCAGATGCACTCTCATCTATAGGCTGCCCTGCCAACACTCCTTGTCTTAGTTTCCTTGAGATGGCTTGCAATGATGCCAATGATAGATGGGAACGCAATCAGATTTTTGCAACTTTAAGTTTTACGAAAGACGGTAATGAGTCTCTTAGTGTTACCTTGCGAACTGATTGTGGTAACTGTGGAATTGAGAGTTCCATACCTCAGGGAGCTAATCCGATATTTGATCCAAAGACTCACTGCTTCCGTAAGTACTTGACAAAGAGGAGAGGGAGGGAATATCCAATTATTATGTTTGCCATTGACTAATGATACTAATTGAACTAAATATTTAATTTATAAGCTCCTTTTTAAATGAACTTTACTCTTTGAACCTCCTCAGGTTGCAACAGTCTTTGTCTTATTGATGGTTTCAGACAGTGCTTTGGTCTAGTTGAGACAAACTGTTGCAATTTCTATGAAGAAGGAGTGTGTATTGATCAATGCAGCGACAGGAGGATTACTGTATCAGAGACTAACTTCACTTGTGTATGCAACAACAGTTTTACTGGACGTAATTGTGATGGTAAGAAGTTTACATTAGTTTACATCAACTAGTCCTTATTGTGTTCATAATCAGCTTATGCTGCCATACCTGATGACTAATATTGTACTTAATAAGCTAATAATACGAGCAATTACTGTAGCACACCTCTCACTGCATGGACTCATGCTTATTATTATTATCATTATCATTATTATTGTCAGCTTACAATGAATGAGTGGGTCTATTTTGTTTGGTTTATTTGCTCTGAAGTATTATTGTGTTGCCAAGTCCCTCCACTCTTCTCTCATGTGATTTCATGTAGGTGTGTAGCCCTCCCTATAATTGAACTTGTGGAGGCTGCAATCGGTTTCTTAGACAAAGTATAAACACAGTTATCATATTTTAAAATGATGTCAGTGTTTTAAGTTTTGAATAGCTGGGGGTATTGTTCATAGACATTGCTATATCTTATGGTCAAAATATACTTAAGAAACTCCTTTAATGTCATTAACTTATTATCTTTTGATCTTTTAGTATGTAACATAACCTGTGGTCCAAATGGTGTGAAGAATACTGAATATTGTATCTGTGACTGCTCTCCTGGGTTCACTGGTGATAGGTGTGAGATTGACATTGATGAATGCCAAAGTGTCAACTGCAGAAACAATGGAACCTGTAATAACTTGGTCAACAACTTCAGGTGTGACTGTATATCAGGGTTTGGTGGAAGATTCTGTGAGAATGACATTAACGAGTGTGAAACTGTCAGCTGTAACAACGGAACTTGTATGAACCTGATTGGTGGTTTTAAGTGTGACTGTAATCCTGGCTTTACCGGAATGTTCTGTAATGTCACCATTAATATCTGTATTGAAGAAATGCCTTGTCTTAATGGAGGTACCTGTCTTCCTCAAGTTAATAATTATACTTGTGATTGTGCTCGGAACTTTACCGGACGAAACTGCAGTCGATGTGAAGCGCCTTTCATATTATCCAATCAAAGTTGTGGTAAGGATGAACTTTTACAAATTAATATCTTGTGATTATCTCTCTCTCTCTCTCTCTCTCTCTCTCTCTCTCTCTCTCTCTCTCTCTCTCTCTCTCTCTCTCTCTCTCTCTCTCTCTCTAGCTTTGCCTTGTGATATTGCTAATCCATGTCAAAATGGAGGTACATGTTCAAACCTAATGGATGGTACCGTTACATGTAATTGTATATTAAACTTCACTGGACCAACCTGCAATATTCCACCACAGACAGTATGCAATCCTAATCCTTGTTTGAACAATGGTACCTGTACCAGCTCTGGTGGCCGGTTCCAATGTTCATGTCCTCCAAACTTCAGCGGAGACAGGTGTCAGAACTGTGACATAAAGAACTGTCGGACTTGCTCTGCCATTGATAACATTTGTACTACTTGTGCTGACGGCTTTGTACCTGCTAATGCAACTACTGGAGGCTGTGGTAAGTATTGATACATTAATATTTAGAATTATAAATGTATTTTTTATTTTTTATAATTATAGCTAAAGACCTTTCTCAGTGCTTTGCCCAGGACGGTGAGTTATGTCTTTCATGTAATGAATCTCAATATAGTGGCATGTCCTTTTGGCTGTAGCTAGCATATTCTGATAATTGGTTCACTTATGAATCATCTAAACAATCCAATAACTAATAATGCACACTCACTTAGACTCCAGCCAATACACAATTAGGAGTGGCCACTCATAAAGGATGAGGTGTATTGCCTTCAGTGGGTGGAATCAATTGATGGCGTACACCTGGTATCACTCAAGCATGAACTGCTGTTCAAATATAGACACTGTTTATATTACTGACTGCCTGTGTACGTAGCCATACCCTAACACTCACACAAATAGCGAGACATAAGAAGTGAATGGATTTTCAAGTTGTTCAAAACTTGGGCCTAAGACCCTATACTATAGTACAGGGTATTGAGACAAAAATCACAAGGAGAAATTTCTCAAATTTTATACTTTCCCTGATACATATACATGTTTTTTATGTTATGTAGGAAGTTTGAGCTAATTCTGATCAAATTTGAATTTTTTATGAATTTTAAAAAGTTGCTCCAAATGCCATGTACCCTATTGTAGACACTGTGTGTACAAATGAAATCAAATACTACATTCTATAGGATCCACTCCCTTTGGAAATATTTGTGTACATGTCTACCAGGAGTTATTCTTAGTATCGTAATAATCTATAATCTTTAATCCACCTGCTCTATATACTACCCACACACACACACCCTCTGCTCATAGTAAACTAAACCCACCTACTCAATCCTTTTACACAAACAAGACCTCACTCCAATAAACAAGTTTATACATGCACATATATGTATCATGGCAAAGAGAGAGAGGGGGAGGGAGAGAGGGGGAGGGAGAGAGAGAGAGGGTGTAATTCTCTTATTTATATGTATTCTCAGATCAACACTGCCTTTGTGTAGTATCTATGGCTGCTATACAACTGTCATAATAGCAGCCATAGAATATATACTGTCTTTAAAGCAAGGATTATAATGTATTTCATCTCACTAGATCCTCCATTGTGCAAATGGATGACAGTGACCAGTGCCTGCTGCTACACTGACATATGTACTAAAGAATCCAGCAACAAGAACCAATACAGCAGTTACAGGAGGGACTTTAAGTGTTTTGAAAGTTTTCATAATAACTGGAAAAGACGGGCAGAGGGTTTTGGGTTTTTTTTTCCAAGAATTAATGACGAAGCTAATTCCTTGAAACACAATAGCTTAAGTCGTAAGTACAATATAGTGCTGACTATGTACGCATTAGCATTTAAATTTATGATTTTAAATTCAATCTTTTTCATTTTTAAAGGTCTGCTTGAAGATTGGCGTGAAGGTCTTGAAGATTCACTTAAGAGTTTGCGGCTGTGGGTCAATTACTTGAGGAGGAGATTGCCTGATGTGACCATACCACCTGTACCCACTCTTGAAACCAGTGAGGGACTATGAATATGATTATCTTAATTAGATACCTTGTATTGTGTTATTAATTATTATTTTATTTTATTTTATTTTATTTTACAACAGGGACTGCCGATGCTAATGCCTTATATAAAGAGTATACTGAGTACTGGTACAACGTTGTTAACATTTTCAACAATAACATCATTCCTCTCTACAGCCAGTGAAGCTATTACTACAGTATATCATTAACATTCATGATGCTGCTACCATTATTCATTATTATTGTCACTATACTACTCATGGTGTTCACTGCTGGTATATATTGAACTAGTTAATAAACACTCTCTTAATCATAATCATTTTAATCATTTTATTGAATATATGCAACAGTTAAGTTTATCAGTATGTACATGTCTGTGTCATCATTTTAATAATCAGTTTCATGATTTGAGACGTATTGTATTGTTAAAGAGGGTGGGGTATAGTGCGTGAATATCATTGGACTCCTTAGCAACCAGTGTATCTCCTTAGCAACCAGTGTATGTTCTTCACTGCTGCACTTGAAGCACTTCAACATGATTAGGATAATTATACTCCTCTTCATTGCTGGTTGTATTTCATTCTCAACTGCTCAAGATTGTCCTCTACCAACAATAGCTGAGATAGAGACTGTATTGCCTCCTTTACTAATCATTGCTGATGGTAACCAGATGTACTCTCCTAATGTAACTGAAGGATCAGTTCAATATGTCTGTCTAGCCCAAGGGAGCATGATTGATACTTATGAAGCCATAGCTCTTATAGCTAACTTTACTCGTAACCCAGGAGAAACTGAACGAACTAGGATATTTGATATGGAGTGTATGAGTGGTACATGGACTGGAAGGACTGGTAGTTTAGATCCTCCTCCTGCTAGTGTTGTTGGTGTTCCTCCAAGAACTGATTGTTATCGGTGCCGGGAAGGGTTTGGTGGAGATACTAGATGTAGATGTAAGCCAACTAAGAAATAAATAATAATATTTTGGTATCCATGCATTTAGCATGTGACAGTGCTTGTAATTCTGGATTGATGAGGTGTACTGGACCAGATGCTACTGATTGTTGTTTAGTGTTTAGTAAAGATGGTGAGTGTGCTCTTGACTGTACATCATCTGGTCCTAACTATTATGCTGAAGAAACTACTAACTTCACTTGCAGTAAGGAATGAGTATACACTGATACTCAATACTATATCATGTTTATAGCTTGTAATCTAACCTGTCCTGATGGTTATACTGTTAATTCTAATTGTACTGGCTGTGATTTCAATAGCACCTGTGATAGAGACAGTCCATGTATGAATGGAGGAGAGTGTATACAGTATTCACCTCCTGATAATTATACTTGTGATTGTACTGGCACTGGATACCAGGGAGACAACTGTACTGGTGAGTTTTAATATAGTGCTGTTTTTAAGATAAATTAATTTTAATGAATAGTATCTCCTTGTGATTCTAATCCTTGTGAAAATGGAGCTACTTGCATGGATCAAGTAGCTGATTACACTTGCAATTGTATGGAAGGTTACACTGGAAAGAACTGCTCCATAGACATAGATGATTGTGATTCTAATCCTTGTGAAAATGGAGCTACATGCATGGATCAAGTAGCTGATTACACTTGCAATTGTATGGAAGGTTACACAGGAAAGAACTGCTCCATAGACATAGATGATTGTGATTCTAATCCTTGTGAAAATGGAGCTACTTGTAACGATGAAGTAGCTGGTTACACTTGCAATTGTATGGAAGGTTACACTGGAAAGAACTGCTCCATAGACATAGATGATTGTGATTCTAATCCTTGTGAAAATGGAGCTACTTGTAACGATGAAGTAGCTGGTTATACTTGTGATTGTATCGATGGTTTCACTGGAGCAAATTGCTCTGTGAACATAAACGATTGTAGTCCTAATCCTTGTAAAAATGGAGGTACCTGTATTGATGGAGTTGCTGGTTATTCCTGTGAATGTCAAGGGTCTTGGGTTGGTGACAACTGCACAATGTGTTCACTAGAGAGTTGCCTGGTTTGTTCCAGTGCTCCTGACCAGTGCAGCACATGTATTGTGGGATATCTACTGAGAGACAATATCTGCAGTAAGTATTGTGATCATCATATTATCATTAATTATTGTTTTAACAGTAAGAGATGACTGTATTAGTGACTGTAACAATGAGAATAGTGAGTTATTACTACTATAAAGTGTAATGATTATTATAATGTGATGTAGATGAATATCAGTTTAGACTCTGTCAGTTTTATTGTTCACTCAAGAGATGGAGACAAGTAGCACTGAACCATGGTCTTAATGTGCCAGCCATTAAAGAAAGGGTAAGCAGACAATTTGAATAAATCTGTAGAGTTAGTATTTTGTGAAAAGAATAAAGAACTATTGTTTGAAGAACAATGGAAGGAAGCTTTACAAGAGCAGAGGAAGTTGCAATATTTTTGGTTGCAGGAAGCACAAAAAAGAGGATTAGCAGTCACTGAACAAATGACATCAAACACTGATGGTATAACAAATATAAATAATAATAATAATAATAATAATAATACTAATGATAATTATTATTATAATGATAGATTTACAAGGAGACTGGTATGAGAGTATCAGTGATGGAATAGGTTATCAGCAAAACTGGCAGAATGATGCTAGATCACTGAGACCATCAGCAACTGTAGGAGACTTTAACAATATAGACACCAACCAACCATCAGGTATGCATATGTATCAGTTGAATAGCTCAAATAATGCATAAATTGTACTGGAAAAAAGAAAAAATTGACCTTTGTAATTATAATGATCATTGTTTACTTTCTGTTCCTGTTCACACTTCAGTTCACACCTCAAGGTGTTAACAAGGTGTCCAAAACAACTTGTAGAAATTACAAAATATTTTAATATTATTTTTATGCTGCAGGAGGAGCAGATGCTGATGAGTTAAGTGCTACATACAATGAATACATGAGGAATTGGCATGAGGACTTAATGTTTTATGAGGAAGAGTTTTAAATCAAAAGAAATATAAAGACTTTAACATGATAATAGAGAGAAAGGATAAATATTTCAATTTTTATTGCATAAAATTACACTTACATTACATACACCTTGAAAATACTTAACAATAATAATGCTAGTTTTAATAATAATAATAATAATAATAATAATAATAATAACAATAAGTATTAATAAGTGTTAATCAATTCTTGCAGCAGCCTGATTGAGATGGCTGTGTGCTAGCAGGTGGAGGATTATCAAGTCGTATTGTAGAATCAGGTCGTGCCCTACTACTTCCGCGTCGATTCTTCTCCGAACCATCCCCTCCACCCGGAGTGACACCTGACTTCTGCAGCTGTATGAGTACAATCCTCTCTATGTACTGGAAGAGGTCAGTCACCCCAGCCCCTGTCTTTGAGCTGGTTTCAAAGTAAGACTCATGGCTTTGAACTTTGACAAGGAACGTATTTGGGTTTGACCTCAGGGCTCTCTCCAGCTGTCTCTGGTGCTGACGGACTGCCAGGGACTTTCCTTCAGAGGAACCAATCTCTCTTCCTTTGCTGTTTATAAGGTCCAGTTTGGTTCCCACGACAACAGTAAAGCAGGTGGGGGCTTGTTCCTCAAGGAGTGGAATGAATACTTGTTCTAGTTTTTCTAAAGACGATTTCTAACTGAATTCTTAGTGAGGTCAATTGCCAGAATGGCCACATGAGCACCATGGCAATAGTAAACTAAACCCACCTACTCAATCCTTTCAGTTACACAAACAAGAACTCACATTGCAGTGAGCTACTCATAAACAATTTTATACATGCACCATGTACATATATGCATCAGGAGGAAGAGAGAGAGAGGGTCTAATTCTTTTATTTATATGTATTTTAATCATTTTATTGAATATATGGAACAGTTAAGGTTATCAGTGCAGTATGTAAATGTATGTGTCATCATTTTTATAATCAGTTTCATCATTCATGATTTGAGATGTATTGTCTAATGTTAAGAGGGTGGGGTAGTATGTGTGAATATCATTGGACTCCTTAGCAACCAATGTATCTCCTTAGCTGCAGTGTATCTTCTTCACTGCTGCACTTGAAACACTTCAACATGATTAGGATAGTTACACTCCTCTTTATTGCTGGTTGTATTTCATTCTCAACTGCTCAAGATTGTGCTTTACCAACAATAGCTGAGATAGAGGCTGTATTGCCTCCTTTACTAATCATTGCTGATGGTAACCAGGTGTACTCTCCTAATGTAACTGAAGGATCAGTTCAATATGTCTGTCAAGCTCAAGGGGACACTATCAATACTTATCAAGCCATAGCTCTTATAGCTACATTCACTCCTAACCCAGGAGAACCTGAACAAACCAGGATACTTGATATGGAGTGTAACAGTGGTACATGGAGTGGAAGGACTGGTAGTTTGGATCCTCCTCCTGCCAGTGTTGTTGGTGTTCCTCCAAGAACTGATTGTTATCGGTGTCGGGAAGGATTTGGTGGAGATACTAGATGTAGAGGTATAGAAGCTAATTAAAAAAATTAATAATAATAGTTTGGTATTCATTTAGCATGTAACAATGCTTGTAATTCTGGACTGATGAGGTGCACTGGATCAGGCTCTGGTGATTGTTGTTTAGTGTTTAGTAAAGATGGTGAGTGTGCTCCTGACTGTACATCATCAGGTCCTAACTATTATGCTGATAACACTACTAACTTCAATTGCAGTAAGGAATAATTATTTAATGTATACACTGATATAATAATTATTAATAAATAGAATCTCCATGTGACTCAAACCCTTGTCAAAATGGAGGTGCCTGTATTGATGATGTAGCTGGTTATGTCTGCAATTGTACTGAAGGATTTAATGGAACAGACTGCTCCAATAACATAGACGACTGTAATCCTAATCCTTGTCAAAATGGAGGTACCTGTATTGATGAAGTAGCTGGTTATACTTGCAATTGTACTGAAGGATTTAATGGAACAAACTGCTCCAATAAGATAGACGATTGTAGTCCTAATCCTTGTCAAAATGGAGGTACCTGTATTGATGAAGTAGCTGGTTATACTTGCAATTGTACTGAAGGATTTAATGGAACAAACTGCTCCAATAACATAGACGACTGTAATCCTAATCCTTGTCAAAATGGAGGTACCTGTATTGATGAAGTAGCTGGTTATACTTGCAATTGTACTGAAGGATTTAATGGAACAAACTGCTCCAATAAGATAGACGATTGTAGTCCTAATCCTTGTCAAAATGGAGGTACCTGTATTGATGAAGTAGCTGGTTATACTTGCAATTGTACTGAAGGATTTAATGGAACAAACTGCTCCAATAACATAGACGATTGTAGTCCTAATCCTTGTCAAAATGGAGGTACCTGTATTGATGGAGTAGCTGGTTATACTTGCAATTGTACTGAAGGATTCAATGGAACAAACTGCTCCAATAACATAGACGACTGTAATCCTAATCCTTGTCAAAATGGAGGTACCTGTATTGATGAAGTAGCTGGTTATACTTGCAATTGTACTGAAGGATTCAATGGAACAGACTGCTCCAATAACATAGACGACTGTAATCCTAATCCTTGTCAAAATGGAGGTACCTGTATTGATGAAGTAGCTGGTTATACTTGCAATTGTACTGAAGGATTTAATGGAACAAACTGCTCCAATAAGATAGACGATTGTAGTCCTAATCCTTGTCAAAATGGAGGTACCTGTATTGATGAAGTAGCTGGTTATACTTGCAATTGTACTGAAGGATTTAATGGAACAAACTGCTCCAATAACATAGACGATTGTAGTCCTAATCCTTGTCAAAATGGAGGTACCTGTATTGATGGAGTAGCTGGTTATACTTGCAATTGTACTGAAGGATTTAA